TTCTACAGGAGGCCCGCCGCGCGCGGCGAGAAGGCAGAGACGCAAGCGTGTGCTGTTTGATGCGGGACTTAATATAAGTACATTCTATTTATGACGCGAAATTACTGCAGTACGCGCTGCGACTCCTCCGCTGACCCATCTGCGTCTCCGCCTTCTCGTCGCGCCACGAGCCTCCTGTCGGGTATCGCATACTTTGCAGTTCGAACGACCCACCACCGATTCGAGAGTGTGGGAAAATGGAGAGACACCCAGGACAACGTGCGACTTGGGGGGACTCTCGTCATTTTCCCAAACTCTCAAATCGCTGCCGCATCGCTCATTTCTGCTGGATTCGCAAAGTCTGCCACCGAACCCTGCAGCAGTTCTTGAAAATGGAGGTCTGGGATGATATAAAATGCAGTTGTTCTCTTCTTTCAATTTCACTTTGGTAATTAAGGAAAAAATGATCTTGGTAGTACGGTAGAATGGAGTACTTCATGTGAATATAAGCAGCAATATGGAGTTTGGAGAATGGATATCTTGTCGGAGTGTGGTCTTCAAAGGAGCAACGAAACCAATGACTGGCTAACAATGACAACAAAGCCATTTTAGATAACACTTTGGAAGAATAGTGGATTTTCAGCAAACAATTATGAAGTCTCATATTGGAGTAAACAAAGGTTGAGACCTCAGTGGTTATATGGAACGGAATTAAGCAGTAGCGAAATCAATTTCACTGGCTACATATTTTATTCATCAGCCTTAATTCAAAATTAAAATTGTGAACAATTTTGTTCACAGAAAACAAGCTGCTTCATATAAATTTTCATCGAAAAAGAAATCTCAAGGATAAAGTTAACGGCGTGGAAGGCAGGGTCAAAGATTACGTTCAAACCTTTCAAAATTGTTGCGACATCACCTTAGCGTCTCGATAGTCCGGCTCCACAACAGCATCTGATGGTCAGACGTGCGAATTGAGCGTTCGCGCTAGCGTCCAGCCGTCGTCGCAGCAATTCCCGTAGTCAACGCGCAACGCGGACGCTACCTGAATCGCTAGTACGTCGCTCGACTCTCACAAAGTCGACACGCGCTACTCTCAAACACCCACCTCCTCATCACCCGGTTGCTGCCAGCAGAGTCAACCCTGCGTTGCGCAGTTCTCAACGGCCACGTTGCGCAGTTTCGCCCGATTAGACACGTTCTCTCGCGCGAACATTCACACTCGCATGCTCGAGCCGTCTGTGTCTCCGCCCATACAGCGTGCGTTGAGGATCTCTCAACGTGCCGTTGCGAACTGCGCAACGCAGGGTTGACTCTGGTGCCTAGCAGGAGGCCCGTCGATAGCACGGCAGCAAGGCAGAGCCAGCGGACGAGTTCGCGTACTGCATGTCTTCTTCTCACGTTAAATTAAATTAGGCATTGTGCGGCCTACACACACACCACACGCAGTGACTCGTCCGCTGAGCTTTGCTTCTTGCCGCGCGACAGGGTCCTCTCGGTACCCTCCATCCCCGACCGCCACACCCGCCATCATCGCTGTTCTGTAGAATTCCATTCTGAAACCAGTCGACACAGCCAACTCTCCTCCCTCCATAAACGGTCGTCCAACGAGTGAGGTGGGGGGGGGGGAGGTAGATGAATATGTTGAGGACCGACAAAGCCAATTTGTATAGATACTTCATGCTAAAATTTCGGACACTTTGCAAAAGCATCAAAAAAACACCAACTACAAACCTTCGTACGACCCTCGTTCGCAACTTTTCCCCGATACACTATAGAGTACAATTAAACTGCTTATAGGGCGGAAGTGGTGCAGTGACAAGTGGCGCGCTTACCACGCGAGCGGTCCGGGATCAAATCCTGGGTCGTGAGTCGCCCGGGCCAACCAAGCCTTCCATCCCTCCGGGTCGGTTAATTGGTACCAGACTTGTCTGGGAAAAACTGACTTGAACATCGGCTGGCCCCCGCAAGTCATTGTATAGGCCACATCGCATTCAAATGCCACTGCGAATGTACAAATGGAAGTAGAATGCGTGCCGCATCCCAAAAAGGGATTGATCAACGGCAAATGCTTTATCCTTTATCCTTTTATCCTTACCAAACCCAATTGACTCCCATTCGAAATGCAAATGCCCCCGCCCCGCCCCCGCCCCGCCGGCCCGCCGCCCCCCCCCCGCCACCCTCACCCCTGCTTCGAATGGCAGCGAAGACGGATTGCCTGTTGACAGCAAGTTATTGTATACGACACGCAGAGCATCCATAGCGCAAGTTGTCTTTCAGAATCGACGAAGCTTTTCTGAGAATTTTCCAAATTGAAAACGAGTAGAATCACTGAAAAAGAAGGAAATCAATATCATACCTCATTAAAGTTTGAATTACTCACAAATTAGCAAAAAAGGATGCCACGGGCAAAGCAATAGGGCGACATTACGAGGTTACGTGCACCAAGCTTCAAAAATTGTATTTCCTTGAATCTCGTTAGTGAATGTGAAAAGGGCGATGAGAATCACGAGATGATATATTCAAGGACAAAATATCACCATTTGAGCTAACTCTTGAATCATAGTTATCGATAAGTGAGTGACATACGGAAGGCACCCCTGTGCTTCTGCCAATCACGGTAGTCAGACCGTACTGACTTCAGGTCGTGGCAAAGCATAGGTGAAGCGTGAAGACAGAAACTGGGAGAAACGATGGCCTTTGTTATCATGGAGACTTCGTACGAGAGCGATGATTCCCCCCGTTCGTTCTGGTGCAGCTCCATTACCGTTGTACGTACATCTGGAATTATGTGTATCACCTTTACCCCGAAAACGAGGAGGGAGCGTCGGGTGCAGACCACACGCCACAAGTGACGACGACCCCCACAAAATGTAAATGTTTTCTGCCATGGAGCTGTTGCAGTTGTATTTTATAAATTATTAATAAACTGTATTTCGAAGTACATTCATTCAGAACACTACAAACAGATTTCACTTGAGGCCGTGTCACTTGTGGTGTATGGGTCTGCACTGAAGCTCTCGTTGTCTGAAAGGAGGATATATGGCTGGTAAACGCCATTGAGAATAGGATCCAACCATCGCATTGTTTTCCAATTCGAAAAAATTTTCGACCCGATCTTCTATAAAGGGGTGGGGGGACACAACACGATCGTCATCACCATGTGAAGTGTTCTTCATCTGAAGGTCCGAATTTACGACCGATTCCTTGTCCCGGCACAACCCTCCTCACGGCTATTGGCTATTATAGAATTTGATTCTGATTTCTTGAAACGGTTATACACAGCAACTCCTCACTTTCCTCAAAAACGGCGTCAGTGAGGGATTCGGGCAACGGTTCCTTCTCCGCACACAATCTTCAATTTCCAAGAATCACCGAGCTTTTTCCTCCCTCGACCCTTCACAATCCCTAATCCCGTCCGCCCCCAAAACTCAAATAAGGCCTCGCGATGAGAGAATTGCGAGACGCACTGTGTTAGAAACTTCTTGTCTTTCTGATTTAACATTGGGCATAGATTGTTTATTTCCAGTGCTTTGCGGATTATTCTAATAAAGGTGTTGAAGGGGGGGGGGACTGCGGGAGGGGACGTAAGCGCGAAGAAGCAGAAGTCAGCGGGGTGAGTCGCAATGCTCCGTGCTGTAGTGGGTTTCGATTTACGTTAAATAGAATTGTAGATTATTACGTCTATACTGACCTCACAGCACGACTTTGTCGTGACTCTGCCTTTCTGCGCGCGAGGGCCTCCTGACGGGTACCCGAGAGGAGGGGGGTGCACATGGCACGAAAGATCACGTCACCTGCAGCAATTCCATTTTGCAGTGATAGAAGGGGGGATCCCCGGAAGGCGTGGAGTATTTCGATTTCGCTTCATCAACACTTCGAAGATTTCTCCTCGTAAGAAATGGGAGGTTACTGTACCGGCAAGAAAGTCGGGAGAGAAAGAAGAGTGCGATGTTAAACCGACGCAACGAAATTTGTATGGACGATTGTTACTTACACGTCGGACGTAAGCAAACCAGCCCTTTTGGCGCATCGGCTGGGACCGTATGCTGAATGTTGGGGAGGGGATGGTGTCCCCGACGGTGGACGGACAACTTCAACGCGGTCCTTAGAACCGCCACAATTTGGCGCTTACCTTAGAACTAAGCCTTAAAGAGAGGACGGGTCCGTCCCCTCTCCTAGGCTTAGTCCAAGGGTGAGCAGACCGGTCCTTCTGGCGAAGCTACTGGACCAGCTGCACCACTTGCGTCAGTACTCTCCTATCGTACCAACCGAGTTGAAGTAAACCGTCGACCGTTGGGGACCCCATCCCCTCCCCAACATTCAGCATACGGTCCCAGCCGATGTGCCAAAAGGGCTGGTTTGCTTACGTCCTTCGTACCACCCTTCTTTCTAATGCTGTGATATGCCATACACGCGGCGAACGTGTATTTTACGAGACATCGTGAGGACGTGTGTGCACAACTCGCCTTGTAATCGACGGCTGGTTTTTTCGCTGCTCTGCGATTGTCATAAATTGTCATTTTTGTTAAATGCATGCTGCTCTTAACACTTTTTTATTCTCGTCTTGTCTAAGCTTATGTGGTTTCATCGCATAAGGGAGAATATTGTCGTGTGCGATCTCACTGCCTCCTTCAGAAATTCCAATTTTAACGGAATTTATAGTTTTTCATTCGAAAATGATCCACACATGCGTATACTATTTCGTTAAGCATTTGTTCTGAGTGTGGGTTTAGGCAGCAGTGTGAACGATCTCGTTTCTCCTTTTACACTCACCCTTATGCTTGTTCTCTTGGGAAAACTGGATTATTTTAAGTGGCATGAATTGTCGCACCATATGCCTCCTCCCTTGTGGATGAGACCAAGCATTATCCATAATGGTCTTTTTCTCCTTGCTCTGCAGGTTTTTGAATTCCAAGTGCCTTTTTTCTCGAAGGAGCTGCTATTTTTCTTCTTGTTCATTTGCGCGACGCTTTCTTTCGCGTGTGTTGGCTGAGTGCGGCAGTATTTTGGTGATTTAGATGTCTGATTCGTCCAGTTCGGAAGGAGAGGAGATTGAGGAGTCTGTGCAAAGTCCGTTGAACATTCAACGAACAAAGGGCATCCATGATGGTAAGTCATCGGCATTTAATTACATTGTACCAAGTTGCCACTTTATTCATGTCTCAGGAGATTCTTCTGAAGCTGACGATGACGAGTTACACGAAGAGCAAGAGCCGAAAACGTTCAAACAACTGGTCAGTTCTCTTACCATCCCAATTGCACATGCTTTAGTTTCGACGGCACGTCTTCATGCGAAATATTTGAAATAATTTTCAAGTGTAGAGATCATGCGCAAATCGAATATAAATACGAACTTCTTTGTTAATCATTCGCAGCCGCGTGGGCAAATTTTTAGTGTTTTTCTTTCTTCACCTTTGGAGGTGCACTAATATTGCTGTAATATGTGTACCACTGTTTTTAGAAGACTTTTGGACGACAATCAGGCCACGTTGAGGCCTCCTTCGAAGCGCACTGATCTATTACTGCGATTTTTGGTGTTCCAACACTCTTGAACTTTACCACGGGATGTTGTGATAGTAACAAAAGCTAAATCTCGCTTGATTTCTCGAAGTGACATTGCTAACCGAAGCAAATCAACGAACGCATCGATTTTCTGGAACTTCCTTGCAGGGTTCGGAATTACTTTGAACATTGCGAGTCAACCCTGTTCGTAATTTATCACAGGAATGCTGAGTTGTGGGCAAAACTTTCGCCCCAGCTAGGGATTCGTACCCGGATCTCTTGCTTTCCGGGCAATTGTGCTACCAGTTACAGCAAGAGATCCGGGTACGAATCCCGGCTGGGGCGAAAGTTTTGCCCACAACTCAGCATTCTTGTGATAACTTTCGTAACGCGAGCTGCGACGTAAAACAGCAGTCGTCCAACAGAAACCTGTTTGTAATCTCCAAAATTTTCTCACCAAATCAACTGTACTATTGGTATAATGACATGAAATTCCTTCAAGGGTGTCTGTGATGCACTTTGTGAGGCATGTGAACGATTGGACTGGAAGATTCCAACAAAAATTCAAGTGGCAGCTCTTCCACACGCTCTCAACGGAAGGGACGTGATAGGCTTGGCTGAAACTGGGTAAGTCTTTCGTTTGTGTGTGTACATCATGAGGGACCCTTTCGCTATGTATTTGCTCGCTCATTTGCCATTAGACCTGTTTCATGTTCTTGTGCTTTCATTATACAACGAAATTGCAGATCCGGGAAAACAGCTGCATTC